GGAGGAGGATAGAGAGTGTTGTTTCTTGTTTGGTTGTCTCGACAGTGAGTTTTGCGTCTGAGGCCACGGTCAGCCTGCAGACGGCCTGGGTACCCAGCATTTGTTTAGGGCACCTTTTCTAGCCCCTTTCCCCTAGCAGGGTTGGGCAGTATTCTCACTAAATAGGGCTACTCAGTTGTCCCAGACGACTACCGCACACCACTATGGGCCACGACTGTTGTTTAGTGGGAGAGCAATCTGAGTTAGCCTGCCTGCCAGAATGCGATATGGTCCCCGTATTGGTCCAGCCCATTTACCACGTGGCTTGCTTTGGGGCCACAAAGAGAGATGTCAGCAACACCCAGTATTTCCAGTCGGTCACCCATGCAAGTAACTCCGGGGGCACACACATACACCACACCACACCCTGACGGCGGAAACGGTTGCCATGCACACTCGACAAAAGCTGTTACTTAATTGGCATGAGTTTTAACCTGTTCTAAATGATCCAGTAAATCACGACGAATTTTATAGAAAACATTCAGAAACTACGTCTTCTTCAAACTTTTACTCAAAGAAAGGTTTACTTTAGGGTTTAAAAGTTTGTGATTATAAGATTTTTGAGGACCGTGAAATGTTTATCCTAATACTATTGCATCTTCGCATTTAAAAACGCTCCTCATGAGGCATACACCGTGGTCTTTTTGTGTTGCAAGTGTTTAGGAGAGTCAGATGACACTTTCTTGGTGGCATATAAGAATGTATGATTTTTAATACCTGTAAAATGAACAGCCTGTGGTTCAGAAAGCATACGCTCAACCGTAACAGCTGGTGGGATCAAAAATTATTCGGAAATTGAAGAAATTTTATTAGGAACTGGAAGACACCTGCTCTTCGAATATAAAATTTGAAAAAGGCGTAATTTACTGCAAGACAAATACGAGAAGGAATATCTTATGTGTGTATTCTATAAAATGCGTTTAGAGTTGTAATGACATTGGAAATCTGGGGAGAGAGCAGACTTCGTATAAATATTCTCTGGGAGATGTTGGCGTATCGCTAGTTCCGTCACCGGAACAGACGAACCCGAGTTCAATGCCGGTGTCAGAATACAGTCGAGATAACGCGGGTAATTCCGCAAGAATGACACAGCACGATAGAAAACGAGGCAGGGTATAAAACTGTAGGCTGAACTACATTCGGGATTACCAGACCAACAGTTACACGAAGGACACCGGCACACACTTCTCCGTCTAAAAATAGACAAGCCAAAATGACCCACCTCCAGGAACAGTGGGAGCCCAACAGTTAGATTGCAGATGAAAAATATTGTGGTATATTTGCTTACTAATAAGTAGTAAGTAGAAAAATAGGTGGAAACTCAGCACTGACGTGTGCGGAACGCCAAACCACCCAAGTAATTGTTTTAGCGGGAAAGACGAGCATTTAAAATCCGGGATACTGGGGTCACTAAAATGCCTTGAGATTATGTCGCATGATAATCAATATTACATCCCCACCCCCATTTTAACCGAGATCATATTTCAGAATTTCAGTCAACGTTTTATGAGATACGTCACCTACGGTACCATGGCCAAAACTAACCCCCGCCCCTCGAGGAAAAGAAGAGGGATACGATTCAATACTTCGAGTTTTGGTGTCGATGCAATGGAATAAATATTGGTGATACAATATTTTGGCGACTACAGATAAAAAATTCTTCCATTAGGCAGATTTTCTCCGGAACGCGGTTTCGGCTTCTTTACAGAAGTCGCAGTCTTCTTTGCCGATCTGAAACATTACAAAGAATGTTTTAAGCTTGTGTCTCTTGAGTGACCGACCCAGTACGACGAGGAGCGTCATTGCAATCCGGGTTTTCAAACTCCCAATAAAAAAATCTCATTCATTTTTGACAGTCTATGCCTCTTAAGAATGACAACAATACATCTAGGATTACAACATTCCCCAAATTTAGGGACACATAGGTCGAAACCGATGATAAACTTATATCTGAGGTTGCAGTCATGATCAGTAAGAGGCACAACCTCAATCGAATTTATCAACAGAAACATGCTGCTTTTTGACAGATGGGCAGCTTGGCTGCATAAATTAACAGAATGTGTAAAAAACATGTTTAACTTGTTTTCCGTCTGGATTCGCGCTGGGAGGGATCCATATGATCCCGCGCCTTTTGCAGGGAACTGCGTCTTCGTGAAGTGTGGCAAATAGGGAGTGAAATACTCTGCTTTAAATTAATACAAATTTCTGGGTATAACACACGAGTAGAAGCTCCTCGTGTAGTACAAGTGGCCTTGTACTAAATTCTGGGAACAGTACCTATTTCCATGTCCTAACCACAGCTCCAAACCTAACCCTGACACAAACCTTAGCCCCAAACTAATCCTCCTGAAATTTGGCAAAAGGCCACCTTTATTACTGTGGGGCTCATATTCCTCCACCCAACCAATTTTTGAAACAAAAATAAAACTTTCAAGCTGTATTGCACCTTTCTGAAAAACCTTCAGTCAGATTCTTCAGTTCCCTGGTTAGGGACTTCTCGGTGCTCATGGAATACTGGAATAGATCAGGAGGTGTGGCATACTTTTTAAGCAACGGCAACAAAACTATGACTACTGAATTAAGTGATTATCCACGCGAACGTCTCATTTTCTCCACTGTTGCGAAATTTTCAAAGCGGATCAACTCCTGTCCTATTTACTAAACGAGTCTTAGAAAATCAAGATATTGCCGACTCTTTAGGAAAAATATGGGCTGACCCAGAAATTGCCTTATTGTCGGAAAATTCAATGAGTCCTCCGCCACTAGCTTTCTTTGCTTTCATTTTTGATCTCGAAACACTATTTCGAAAATTTTCTTGTAAATGTTTTTACGACGACGCAGCGCGTAAAAGTCAGTTTATTTACTTCGAAAATCATCCATCCGTTATTCTATCGTGTGGGACATTATTTAAAGGAGCCCATGCTTTAGAAGAGGAAAATGGGCTCCACTTTGGCGACATCCATTTTCATACACAATCAGAAACCCCTCCTTCCCTTCTCCCTCTCGTATCATAAAAAAATGAGGTTGACAGATTAGCAGACAGACATTGTTCCTCATTTTTCAGTGGTCAAGCAACTCGTCCGTAGCATGACCCCATTTGGGGATTCATCAAAAACCAGAGGAAAACACACCCACTGTCCAAGCAATGTGCTTTTTTCCTGCTTTAATAAATGAGGGTGGCAGGAAATATTCTAAGCTAAAGTCGCCAGACTGCAGTGTATCACATAACTGGGGGTCGTACTTAATAGTAAATGAGTATTGTCATATAATTTGGGCAGATTTTACGCTTAGAAGAACACTCGAAGAGCCCAGTCAGTGCTTCATGAGTGTAGATAATTGGACACACGATGTGGACGCCGTATTAGAGGCGGCTTAGCCCTAAATTCTAGTGGGGTTGGAGTTGAGGTTAAAGTCAAGGCACAGGAGCAGGTACCCCCTGAATTTTAAAGCGAGGTTGCACGTAGTACTGGGGGAGTCCATATTTACGTGTCCGAACGTTCCAGCGCTTGCTGTGTATGTGCTGCCCTCTGCCCTATACAAGTACTGTGTATCCTCAACTGTTTCCTATTGTGTAATGTCTCGGTGCTCCTTGTGCGAAC